ATCCAAATCACCATGCAAGAAAGCATTATTAACATCTAACTGATGAATGTGCCACTTTTAATGGATGCAATGCATAAAAGAACTCTAACAGTGGTGATTTTAGCAACAGGAGAAAAGGTGTCAAAGTAGTCAATACCTTCTTCTTGTGTGTAGCCTTTGGCTACCAATCTAGCTTTATACCTCTCAATTGTACCATCTGATTTATATTTTATTTTATATACCCATTTGCAGCCTATGCAATGATGGTTAGGAGGTAAAGCAACTAACTTCCATGTATTGGTCTGTTCAAGAGCAGAGATTTCTTTATGCATGGCTTCCTGCCACAGTGGATCTAAGACAGTTTGCTTATAAGTCTTAGGTTCACTGTTGACACTGATAGCAGCAGTAAAACATGCATGGTTATGAGACAATGATGCAGTTGATAAGTAATTTGACAATGGATATGGTGTTCCAGATATGTCAATATGAGCAGAATTAGAATTTGAGGATTGTGGCAGTGAGTGTGTATATATTTGTAGGTAAGAAGGAGGCTTTCTGATCCTAGAGGATCTTCTGAGCATGGCTTGTGGAGATGTGGAATTTGGTGGTGTAGGTTGAAATATTGATAGGGGAAGGATCATTAGTAGAAGGTGAGTGTGAGGATTGCATAGGAGTTGTAGAAGAAGGATTTGGTTGTTGTGAAGGTGTAGAAGAATGATTTTGTAAAGGGGATGTGGGAGGTGAGTTAATGGATGGTGTATCTGAATATGTAAAGTCTGGTGGTTTGGGAAATAAATTTTCAGAAGTGGTTTGAAGTATGGAATCATGTTTGAAAGGTAACACATGCTCATAAAAGGAAACATTTCTGGAAATTTCTATTTTCTTGGTATCTAGATTGTAAAGTCTATATCCTTTACAACCAATAGGATATCCAAGAAGTATGCATTTAGATGCCCTATGATCAAACTTAGATCTATGTGCAGTAATGGTGGATGCATAGCATAAGCAGCCAATAACTTTCAA